GACATGTATTTACTGGATTTATTTGTGTGTGCATAACTGCTTATAATGCCCAATGATAATGATAGTCAATTTGCTGGGCGCAGCTGCCGTTATACTATATATATATATATATATATGAGTATATAAATTATATATACCCATTGTCGTAGCCAAACGCCAACGTCTCCATCGCCATCATCGTTGTTGGACGGTCGGTTGGTTGGGTCATGTGACTTGTTGTATGGATGGAGCAACTGGTTGTTGTTTCGCTTTTGCCGCTGCCGCCTTGCTTGCCCGCCAGCCCGCCTGGCTTTTGTTGGCTGGCTGTGTTGTCGTCGCTTTGGAAATCTGTGTGCTTATTTGCCACGCTCTCTTTCATTCACTCACACGAAAAGACAAACACTGCAGGAAAAAGTTGCCATCTTGTCACAGGAAATCCATTCTTGAAGGCTAAACTATACGTTACTGTTGAGCTAATGTTATAAAGAGGTTAAGAATCTCTGAAACAAGTTTGTCATGTGAATTATACAAACTAGTTTCTCTTTTTAACTCAACTGATCTTTCAACCTTTAACGTCTCTAATTGGCAAATTTAATATAGTACAACCTGAGAGTCGAGTAGATTAAATCCGGAACTCTGTCTGAAGGTGATAGGAAATGAAAAATATTTTCCATTCCTTGATCGAGATAGAAACTTATTTTGATAAAATTTGGTATCTAAAGTCAGAGTAGAAAAAATTACCTAAAATATCTAATAATCCTATGGTGATAAAAGTTTATCAACTGACCTAAATGCTTAGCATGCTTGGCTTAAAGGGCTTTGGGTTTTTCTCAGTGCAAATTCCGCAGACAGGGAGAGTCAGGCGGCCAGACACGCTCTGTAAAGTCATTAACAGATGCTGATTTGATTACAATTGTGCGCCTTTACTCTCTGTTTATCACTCTGGTTATTGTTTGTTTGTGTCTGTGGCAGTGCCAAAGCTAAAGCCAAAAGTCTGGGACATATCAATTGGCTGGCTATTTCCCATATCAATCAGTGGCGCGGAGTGGAGTATCTAAGGGCTAATCAAAACATAATCCAGGCAAAGCCTGATAACGCCCGTCACCACTCGAGTGCCACTCCGCCTTACATCCCCCATAAGTACACCTGGCCATATCAATCAAATTATATACTTCTATATTTATATATATACATATAGTGCAGACCTCTGCGAAAGCGAGAGGGCTATAATATTGTGGGGGGATCGTGGTTAGCTCTTGTCTTTGTTCATTATGCATGCCTGCCTGCGCCTGTGTTTATGTAGATATGTATTTATTTGCTTAATATTGTTTGGCTGTGGCTCGCTTTTGTTTTGCTTGCGTAGCTGAAAAAGCATGTGATCTTAGCGAGTGCCCCGCCCCCCTTGCTTCTTGCCCGTCCGCTTTCCCGCTGGCTCAGCGCCCCCATAGAAATAATGAAAATAAAAGCAGAAATATCTGAATAAACAACGCCGCCTCTTCGAGCGATAAGTCAACTTAGCGGCCTTTCGATAATTGTTTTCGCGCTGATCTCTCTCCCGTACTCGTCTTGGCCAGGTCAGCCGGCAGCCCACGGTCCGCCTTGTACCTTATGGCTTCTGACTTTCTGGCCCCGTATGCTCACGTACTCGTAGTAACCCAACGATCACGGCTGCTGACAAAGTCCATTTAGGCGGGCAAACGTTGGCACCCTACAAAAATCTACAGTGGGGTGTTTTGATTGCTTTATCAACATGGAAATTTTCTTGGAAGAATACGCTTAAGTTAGGAATTTAAAAAATTTTTACTGAATTTGATAAAGAAAGTTAGTCAACTAATTATTTAAATGAACTTTTCTGTCAAAACTAAAGGGCTGTGTTTTATATTTGTGCTTGAAAATGGCTGTAAAACTTATGATAGAGATCATAATAAAACCATTAAAAAACCAGAAAATTACCTTTATAATTACATTGCCCAGGGCATTTAACCTTCGACTGAAAAACCACCGAGGAATGTCTTTAATGTTGTTATTAAATTTTGGCCATATGTCTTTCAACTAATCCATCAAACAATCATTCATCGTTGTCTCTTGACTTTTGCCCAAATATTTTTCCTTTCTCTTTCCGATGTTTGAATGTGTATTTGGGTTTACTTTTTTTTATTTGTTATTATTTTTTTCTTTCCTTTTTTAATTTTTAAACAACATATTAACACATCAGTCTATGACAAGCAACAAATGGTGGCCACATGATGCTCGTCCGACTTTTGGAACCATTCGCCGGGGCTTGGATTCGGGTTTTTGATGTTCGGTTGGTTCGGTTATGTTCGGTTTGGGTACGCAGCTGGACGATCGAAATGGATGGATCCGAGAAATCATGTGAGCAGTGCTCCAATTTGGATGCCCCATGTCGCGGCCCCGAAGTCGCCTCGTTGAGGATCGTTGCTTGTATTATCTGCATGAGTGTTTCAGCGTAGTGCCCTCGTCTATATATGTATGTGCCTATATCGATTTGCCAGGCAAGGCGGCAGGCAGCAAGCGGCTGGCAGAAGGCAGGCAGGCCTTATTATAATGCATATGCGAGTGAGCTAGCCGCTCGTCTCGCTCTGACGAATGGGCACGGGACCTGGGCTTTTCAGTCCCCGTTCCCAGTTCCTCAGTTCTCGAGTTCTCGAGTTCCCAGTGCGATCGCGAGCGCCTTGAACTTCATTTGCTGACTAGCATCGCGGCCATAAAGATATCGACGCGTCGTCGGTCCGCGTTAATCGGGGGTCCAACGGTAAATGTTACAGTTCGACTTCTCTAACTCCAGATAGATAAATGTTAAAATAAATTAAATTTACGATTTTTTAGCTCAACTACTGCAAGTCAAGAAAATAAATGATGGAAACAAAAATAAACACGAAGTAGAAGAAAATATAAATTTCACAATAAGCGATTATTAAATCAGCAAAAAGCTTTTTAGTTACAATATTTTAACAAACATATATTTTAAAAAATGTTTATTATTTCTAAAAAACCTTATCAAAAAAGCTACGCATTTGTTAATCATTTCGTGACTTTGTTGTTAGTAAATACAGAAATTGTTTACATTTTTATTTGCAAATCCAGCGTAAATAAAAAGTGAGTTTTAAATTGATATTGATGTTGAGACTTTTCACTTTTTAAAGTAAATCAATATAAATGAGAGATTTATTCTTAATGAAATAATTGTGAAATACGAAATTATATTATATTATATAAAGAATAAAAGTTATTTACTTAAAGTTATAGGGCTTCTCCAGTAACAATCGCATTACATCAGGATTTTCTTGTATTATGAAATTATAGATAGGCAAGGTCGAGTCAGAGAAGTGAAAACGTCGTAACTAAGGAAATTTCCAGCCAGACAGTCGGCGCTATCGCGAAGCTGCAGGTGGACTTACCCTTTGTCGCATGCATACACCGCCCTTCAAATCCAAGTAAGCACGGCCAATAAATTGGACCCGAAACGGAAAAGCCGGACATTGGACAGACGGAGGACAACAAAGGGACCGCCGGTCACGGTCCGTCTGTGTTCTGGCCACTATATATCCACTGTATCAGTGGGCCCTCGTGACCAGCCCAAAACCAAAAAAACACCTTCGTAATCATAGCTGTGCGTGCGAGCTCCCCCCTTCTTATCGCAGGGCTGTAAAACATTTATTAAGCTCTAAAACTAGTTCGCCCACTCCCTCACCCGCCCGCCCCTATACCATTTAACCCCTCAGCCCCGCCCCCTAAAACGGCAAACGACTATCATCAGTTGGGCTAATTGTTAATTATAGCGCTAATTTCAGGAAAGGCGCCTTTGCAAACTTAGCGCTACTTAGACAAGCCATTTATAAAGCCACTAAAAATTAATTAGCTCAAATCTGTTGTACAAGCTTTAAATCGAGTGCACGGGGCTGCCGATTTGTCTGGCATTTGGAGTGGATTTTTAATCGTTTTTTTGGGTATTAGAGAAAGCTAAAGCTCATTAAAGTTGACAGAATCTATCAACGAATAATATATTACTAATTATTTCGTTGTATTTAAGTATCTACACGGCAGTTCGATTATTTATTAACAGCTTGAATGGTGATTTAGTACGTTTTTTAGCTTTCAAACCTATTAAGTTTCCATTGAGATGTGTATAATATCAAAGAGGGAAACTTAATATCCCCATTCATGGTTCCTCTACAAATTCGTATTCGTTTAAACAAATTCTATTAGATAAAACTTAAAGCGGTTTGTTTGCTGCTGAGATACATAGATTTGTTTGCACTAGTTGGATAAGCCAATTATAGAACGTCCGAAAATAAATTGGTTTAATTTAACACTTGAGTTTGCCGTCATGTGACTAGTGACACCTTCACTGCCCCCGCCTCTCAATGGGTTCAAAGTTCAGCATTAGTACGTTTTAGGCGGCCTTATCTTTCGACATTCTGGTTCTGGGGTGTAAATGCTAAAGATTTGTCGGAAAGTGCTCAACGGGGCCGCTCTCGTATGAGGCCATGAGTAATCGTCACGTGCCAACTGGTGGGGTCGCTATATATAGAGCATAGCATTTGCCATTTTATCGACGACAATGAACAGCCCCACAGAATACGAGAGCTGTTCGAGATGTGCGCATTATAATGAGCCTCGTCTGGCCAGCGGAACAGTGGGTGGCATTTCGACGACCTTCGAGCGGAACTCTAGAATCCCAATTTCGAACGGTGTCGAATGGCAGAAAAGGTGTGGAAATAAGAAATGATATTGGTAGGAAATGAATTGAAGGGGAATATGGGAATTTATGAGGAATTTATGGTATATTAAAGAAAAAATTCTTTATTTGTCACTTTTATTTTTATACTTTAACTATGATATTGAACAATAATTAGTAATCACAACCTAAAGTATGCCAGCAGAAATCCGCTTACTTAGCCGGTTATTACAAAGAAACCAACCATATGTAGGAACTAAGTTTTGCTGATTCATTGATAAAAAAGTATTAACCATTTTATTTATTTCTCCTATTTTTCCAGTCGATTCCCCTTCGAGGGAAGCCAGGTGCGAATTCTGCTTTACAAAGAGGATGACAGTCGGCGACTGCTCTTCGACTCGAATGCCCTCCAGAAGGTGACGCACAGGGACACATCGTCCACATCCGGATCCGTATCATCTTTATCATCATCTACGAGTGGCGGTGGAAAGTTCCTTAAAAATGAGAAGTACACGTCACTGCAGCAGAATGGCAAGATTCAGGCCAAGACACATTCCAGCAATGGTAGCAACTTCATTGATGTTTGTGCGGAATATGGCTATAAGGTGAGTCATTTTTAGTTTACACCAGAAGGTAGTTTATAAGGAGGTATCTAATTTCACCATTAGAGTCAATATTTGTGCTTTTTGCTGTGAGGTCAACAAAAACAAATAAGATTTACTCAAGATTAATTAAAAGTTGATTTTGTTGGACTTAATTAATATATAAAATTTTTGTAAAACAGCACAATCGACCCTCTGGAGCAGACATCACACCGCTGGGCGAGATGGTGTTTGGCTCACTGCCAATGTCCTTTTGCGGAACGGCCCTGAAAGTGCACTGGCTGCCGCAACCGGCTAGGATCTTGTGCTCCCAAGTCTATCTGACGCCAACCAACAATGGAGGATCTGGATCCGGTCACTCGCCCTACTCTACGCTATCGGCAAACAGCCTAGCAACGCCGCGTACCTCGATATGCAGCGAACACGGCTCCATGGATGGTCTCTCGATGAACTCGTTCTCTATGCCGTTCAGCGTGAGTGTAGGACGCCAGATGAGCTTGACGCCGCCACTGGATGTCCCGGCAGCGCCGGCTGATCAACAGTCACTGTCCATACATTCGGTTGACTCCAGCGGACCGCGGTTTTCGTCCACTTACAGCACAGCCACGGATTCTGGCTATTCGGCCAGTGGAAGTGGCAGTGGAACTGGCGGACAGTGGTCCTATCAATACTCATCCACGCGCAGTAGTTTAGGCAGCGTTCTCTCTGATCAGTCGGATGCGATAAGGAAGTTGAGCATGGACTCGGCCTGCTATACGGGATCCTCTCCATATCTGGACGAATTTGCCAGTGATGGCTGTCTGCAGCGAAGAATCTCGCGCAATTTGCGCACCTCCTTCGAGAACGAGCATTCCAAGAACGATTTTATCGGCTTCCTCAGCGACAATTACGCCTTCAATGGCCAAGTGGTAGCACCAGGAGGCGGCGGAGCTGGGGGTGGCAGTGAAGGCGGTGGAATGGCTCCACCTCAGTATAGAAGAGCAAGCTATTGTGCGAATGAGTCTCGCAGTAATCCGGAAATGGGCAGGAGGCAGGCAAATCTTCGCCGTCGAGCGAAACTGGGATTGGCCGTTTGTATTTCAATGAGCGAGTCCTTCGAGGAGGAGATGGAGCTGTTCTGCAGCGAACATATAGCATTGCTTGAATCCATGCTTAGTAGGCTGAGAGCGAGCACGGAGCATGCGTACATCAATCATAAGAACTTCCTTCAGGTAAGGATCACACATACTATCCCGTTATTTAGGAAATAATCAGGATGTTCTGTGTGACCCTCAGATCATGTTCCAAGCTTGCCAGGATACGCAACAGTGGTTCAGTGATCTTTTCACCGCTCCGCGTATCAAGACACCCGTCTGGCTGAGCATCACCACCAGCGGCAGCAAGTACTCCAAGACTGTGGCCGAGAGATTCATCAAGGAGCTGTGCGACCTTCTTTCCTTTGCGGATACCAAGGACTCTAATTTGTATGTGGGATTTAGTTAAGAAAGTCAAAAACCATATTGCTTAAGCTCAAATTCTTTTTACAGCTTCATCAGCACAATGCTAACAGGGATTCTCACCCATCACCTGGGCTGGGTGGCCACTGTGTCCGCCTTTAACAACGCTGGCTCCCGGCGATCGGAATCATCTTCCTCGGCGGCTGCCATTGAACAGCGGGCGAAGCTGCTTCAAGTGGCCCAAAAGCATCCGTACAATGCACTTTGGGCGCAGCTGGGTGACCTTTATGGAGCCATCGGAATGCCGCCCAAGCTAGCTCGTACCATAGTTTGTGGAGCAGAGAAGCTGTGGGTGGAAAAGCTTCTGAACGTTCTCACCTACTTCATCCGCTGCAGCGAGGTACGGCGGGCGGCTAAACGGGAGGATTTTAACAAGCAGCTGATCAACGACCTGGTCAACCAGAGTCAGACTCAAAATCAGACGGCTAACCAGGAGCGGAACAAGAGTCCACCCACACAAATGCGCGGATTAAGCAGGACGTCGACATGCAAGCAAAATCTAAATGCGATTGTCGATGATGCGGACGATGAGGATTGCGAATTTAATGGTTACGATAAAGAAAATGAGAATGAGGACCGAGACGGAGTGGACTCCGGATCTGTGGACGCCAGCGATGGTATGCAGACGCTGAAAAAGAATGAGATTCCCACAGTGCTGGCTTTTCGAGACTCGCACTTTGTGCAGCAAGAGCTGCGTATCGGTAACTATCTGATGGACACAGGAATTGATAAGAAGACGATACTGGAGAGGCAGGCGCAGCAGTTCTTTCGTACTGGTAAGGACGGCCGGATCCGTTTGACAGTAACCACACCGGACAACGTGGAGATGTGCATGGAGGAGGAGCAGTCGAGCGGTACTGGCTCTGTGAGCACTGGTTCTGTGGACGATGGTGCCATCGAAGCCATTGACTATGAAGACAACGTGGAAGCTCCACCGAAGAAGAACTTCTTCTGGAACATGGTACCGGTGGCGGGTGTAAAGGAGGGACTGAGTCTTAGCGATCTAGCAAAACTGCATCAAGGGATTCGGATCATAAATCGCAAGCTGGAGCGACGTAGCAGCAGTTACTCCGTCGAGGGTAATCCCGACCAGCAACAGAGTAAGACGGGTGGAGGAGGGGACTTTGAGCCCCTCAGCCATGAGAGACGTGCGTCCCATTTGTCTCTTTCCGATTTAATCACCCAAAACAGCATGGGCAAGAGCGATCGCATGACATGGGGCATCGAGCCCATAAAAGAAAACGTTAGCCTGGAGGAGCAGATCCACTTCGATCACTGCCACAAACTAATTGAGCGAGAGCATGGCATTTGCAGACAAACATCGGCGGATAATGGCAACGGTGTTGTCTTTGTCCTTGGCGACAATGAGCCGCTGATCAATCTGAAGAAGAGCAGCGAGGATCTTACCGGAGATCAAGATGCCAAGCCCGCCCTTATGCTGTGTGCTCAGCATCAGCGTACCCACGACAGAAGTAAACATTCTGGTATGAAGTTTAACTTCGAGCAGTATCCACAGATTGCCACCAACTACATGAAGAGCAAGAATCTGGTGATGTCCAACTATGATCTGCTGATGGACAAAGCCACCAAACTGGAGGCCAGCGAGGCAGCGGCTCTTAAGGGAAGCGATAGTACGGCTACACTAGCCGCTAGCAGTAGTTCCACAGCGGCTTTACCCCCTCCCGCAACTCCGGTGGCTGCGAATAGCGATCGTTGTGTGGTGTGCAGCAGTGGCGTTGGTATCAACGCCTCCGCCACCTGGAACCAAACGCCCTCTAATGCCACCGAGTTGGAGTTTGAGACCGATGATGTGCACTGCTATAATCAAAGTGGAAATAGTAATGGATGTAGTTCTAAGGCCTTGCAGTCTGTGAACTCGGCCGCCTCCATAGACACTCTTAAGTCAGCAGTTGCCGTGGAGCCAGTGAGTTCAACGATTCCCACTCAGATGCAGACCACATACATGCGCAAGCAGCAGCCCAAACGAGTTCCTTCAGGACGCAGTTCCATCTCCTCGGTGGCCGCCAAGTGCGCGGCCGTCAATGTGTCCCAGCAATTGCTTAAATTGCCAGTTCCGGGCGTCAAAGAGTTGCCGCAAGACGATGACTCGCCGGGCGAACAGCTGCGGGCTGGCTTTATTCCCTCGCTGCTGCTGAGTGTCAGCGATCACTACGTCTCCGACATGGTACTCCAGGTGGGTGTAGTATTCCAATCTTGGCTCCTGATCTTTACTGATTTATTCCATATTTCTTATTTGTAGGGCACTTGTGCACCGCCTAATAAATGGGAGATGAATCTGCGCGAGGATCTGGCGCTGGCTTCGCGCTCCGCTTCGTTAATCTCACAGCCCGCGGAAAACATTGCCATTGTGGCGGACATGGACAAATGGGACGTAAGACTCATCTCGTCGCAGACTCAGCAGTTCCCGTATGCCGGTGGCCAGAGCTCGCCGGTGGGCATGTCTCAGCTCGTGTCTAGCATGCTGGAAACCGTACAGGCCATGCATGCTGGCGGCATTCCAGCCTATGAGGTAAATAATCCTACACTATTCTCTATTTAGACTTGATTAACTCTCTAATTTCTGATTTTAGTGCCTGTCTTTCCTGGAGTCGAAGCTACAGGAAATCTACTTGCAATCAGAAACATTGGCAGCATTCCTTCTGGAGACGGACCCGTGCCGGCTAAGCGATATCACCAATCCGCTGCAGCTCTCCGAAAACGATGTGCCGCTGCTTCTTTCGATTGCATATATACACACGCCCAAAATCAGCCGCAAGTGCGGCATCAGCTTCAGGTGACAGGCCTTCGCCGTCTGCTGCTGAGCCAGGATATTGCCAAACATTCAACCACTCAGCCATTCAGCGAGCTTTTCTCATGCATCATCCAAAGCGAAACAAGCAAATACTCCAGCGAATTTTAATTTCACTGATTTTGTGATATATTTATACGTGTATGAATCTAGCGCTTTAAAGCAGGATACGTTAGTGAGCCATAGCCTTAGCCCTCGAACGGAACCGATCCGATCTGATTGGAAACGATCGGTTTCAGACTATTTTAATCGCCCGGTGTAAACGGGTCGTTCATCGAAATTTACCACATCCACTCATCGCGGGTCACATGAAGAAGTATTGTAAATTATCTGGGTTAGAATTAGCCGGGCCAGATTGCGTAGAGGCGATGGCGTTGACGATGATGATGACAACTCCGGCTTAGCGGCACTCGAAATGCTCTGCTATCGGATCGTTCGATCGCCAAAACATATCTTGCCCCGCCCCACACTTTTGTAGTGCTTGATTTAGATTTAATAATTTATGACAGCAGTAATATAATCGTAGAATTAATTGTATAACTTTACAATAACCTAGGGAAGCAGTGCAGCTAAAACAACTAAAACAAAAAATTTAAATCAAAATATGTATATATTTTTGAAGGAAACAATATACAACAATTTTAATATGAAATAACTAATGCGTTTTTATTACTTTTTGAGACTTAACAGCATATAATCAATGTTTAAGCAGTAAGTTTAGTTTTAAGTTTTATCGATAAAATTCATTTTCGAAGTCCATTAAAAAATGAAAAACCTAATCTGGCTGGTAGGTCAGATGCAGACAGAAGATCTTTGGAACATTTGTGCAGGAAGTTCTTTGGAAGCAATTACCAAAATAAGTGATTCCCGACTGGGTCGAGATAAGTTGTGCAATGATGGGGGATCAAATCAACGGGCTCCTTTGACGCGATGTCATTAGTAATTAGTTGATTAGTAATGTGAAAAGTATTCCATAAAACCTTAAGGTGTTTACGATGAGTGTGTGCGTGATTGATCTATCTAATGGATTACCATTGTGCTCCTTCTGTGTAATCTCAAGCTTCATCTAAGTGGCCGCTGACCTATCCGGATGGACTTAATAAAGGCGATTTTATTGCGAAATAATCGAGTGATAGATCGGACCTAGGCGATTGCTTCATAGCGGTTATTAAAGCTTTCGTTTGCCTCCGCATAAATTTCTATGAGTTACTTAATAAAAAGTAATCTGCCCCTTTCTAACTTCTATAACTGCGCTTATTAAACATCGCAGAAAGTTTATTGTATTATAGTATTATGAAATTAATTTTGTTGTATTCGTGTGTGATTATGCCAATCAATTCGTGATATGGATGTTTTTTATACTACATACTTACTTTGTGCTTAAAAGGATTTTTCGTGACAAACAAAACGTAATTAAACAGTAAATGTTACGTTTAAACAATTCTTAGAGTTCTACTCTAAGTGGGTTGTGTTATTAATTTATACCCACTCACGTTCACTCAGTTTTTATACCCATTATTTAAACAGGTAGATGAGGTGTTTCTGACCGCATTATATATTATTTAATCGATATATAGCTGAGTCAATTTAACGATAACGAGCTATAAAAGCTCTAAAGTTAGTAAATTAGTTAGTGGAAAACTTGCCTCATTGTATGAGCCACAAACGGCAATAGTAAAATGTATGTTAGCATAATTATTTTGATATTGGTAAACAGACTAACGAATATCTGATAGTCTACGCATAAATTTCCCTTTAAATAGTTCAGTATTAACTTTATAATTTTTAAAATTGTTTTATTTTATTTATATTTTTGTTTATCAAGACTTTGCTTACGCATTACTAAACGGTTATACATAAATACAAGTACTAGCTATAGCTTACGCGGTAGGGAAAGAAATTATTTGAATATTCCGGAATCATCAACATTAACATCGATTTAAATAATTATCACATTTCCTAAAGTGTAGGGCTATTTATGGTAGTTCACTTAGAGTTGGTTTTGGACTATGGAGTTGGCGTTCCTCGCGTGCTCATCGTTTAAGGCGACCTCCAGGAGCAGCCGGAAGTCACTTGCCTTTCTGCGACTCCAGGTAGGTGGCCGTGAAGGTGAGCAGGCGGTGCCGCTGCTTCAGGTTGCGGGCGCGGACGTGGGCCGAGTTTAGCTCCTCGGTGTAGCTTCCGGGAAACCAGCCGACGGCACCATCTCGGATCCTTTCGCCCTGGTACCAGCCTTAAAGGGGGTTAAATAAACATATTATTATCCATGCTATTTTTCCGGAAATTCATAGTCACTCACCGTCAGGCAGCTTTCGGGATACATTGACGACATCGCCCAATTCTAGTTGGAGGACGTCTGGCTCGTCGGATTCGTAGCTGTGCTTGGCCACCACCTGAGGACAGTCCCAGGATTCGTATAGCTTCTCCCCGGGCGTCTCCGCTTCCGGCGGTCTCATGGCCTGCAGCCAGCGTTGCTGATCGGAAACCGATGGGCAGGACAGCACCTGAAGAATAGAATAAATTAGCAACAGGAATAGGATTTCGAAATTAAGATAACCAACCAATTCGACGGTCTTGCGGTCGCTGTTCTCGAGTAGGGTCATCAAGATTAAGTTCTTTCCGGCCTGATCCTTGAGGTCCTTGGTAGGCAGCTGGGGCAGAGTGTCGCCAGCGGCGAGGGTGAGCATGCTTCTGGGACAATAATCGAAGACGCTGAAGCTGGACTCTCCGCGCCGCTTGCACAGCAATAGAAGATCCGAAAAGAGGAAAGCGTAGATGCTTGCCTTGGTTAGGCGTTTGCCAAAGGTCAACTTGGCGTCTTCGCCGCGCCACATCAGGTGGGTCAGTTCACCACGCTTGACGAGATAACGCGGCTTGGCTCCAGCCCGAGGCACGCCCACCGGGGCAATGGCCAAGGCTCGCACGTGGGAAGGAAACTCCAATTGGCGGGCAATTCGCTCCAGCTCGAAGGCCTGCTCCCAACGATTGGCCGCCTCATTGCACTGGCCTACTATTTTCTGGACAAGAGCGAGCGTCAGCTTCCAGCCCTCGTACTCCTCGCGATTCAATGGCGACTCTTTGCTGAATACTGCATCGATCAGAAGCGGCAAGCGGGTGATCCTCTGCATTGGCAGCATCAGGAACGAGTGCAGATTAAGGCCGCAGCAGCTGGGACTCGTCTCCAGCCGCTCGAGTTGCTGCTGGAAGGCCAAGGACTCTTTAGACTCCTTTAGCCGGCGTAGGGTTCTGTCCATCCTTCCCTGGTGCTCACAAAAGGCCACGTAAACGTGGAAGTGTCGTTCGGCGATTTCATAGATACAGCGACTCAGTCCCAGCAACATGATATTGTCCTGCCAGCAGGCTTCCAGTTCCGTAAGCAACCGCTCTGAGCACTCGTGCACTGGTACAATGTAGGAGAAGAGCGCTTTCCGATCTTTAGCACTCAGCACGGACGTGTCCATGAAGGCACTGTGGTTCATGAAGTGCCGGCGCAGCAGGTTCAGCGATTTTAGGTAACTGGCCTCAGACGTGATGATCTCGAACTTGGCCTCCTGCAGACTGCGCTCCCTGCTGGTTAAGGTAGCTGAAATGGCCAAGTGATAAGTTAGCTTCAAATTACAAATTTAAGAAATCAGTAAGTAGAGTATAGGTTTAAGTACTGATAGTTCTGCAAGAGGTCTCTGTAGGTCTAGATATAGTTGATTTGCACGGAGAACATGGTTGCCTCCTTAAAGAATGGAATTCGAAAATAGTTCATGGTAGAGGCCTTGATGCTCTTCAATTTGAGAACGAGTACACTGTGGGGAAAACCCCAAAGCTCTATTTCTTCTCATGAAGACGAGAAGGCAATATAGTTAATAATAAAGTGGAAGAACAAAAGTACAAAGGTAATGGCGAGAAAATGCAAGAAGGATTACAAGGGTGTACACATGGAATCCTGGAGAGAAGGACAGAGATGTCTGACCTCGACTACAACTAATTATAAAGTTTCCCTCGATGTACTTACGCAGTATGCAAGAGTGTATAACCTCCGGGATTTCGCTCCACAAGGTCCTCGATGGTCCGTTCTTTGGCTCCACCAGCTGCAGGGCCGTGGGGCGTGGCTTGACCTGCGGCTCTGGCTTCGCTTTGGCGTGTTGTCCAATCTCCTCGTATCCATCCGAAGATCCATGCGCCTCCAGGTCGCGTGTAATCGACTAAAGAGTATAAAAATGTAAAACAAACGTAGGAAAAGTAGGGAATAAAATACTTACCTCCAGCTTGGCGGCGCTGTACATCTGGTAGAGTGGTTCGTTGGAAAACAGACTGTGTGGCTCCGAGGACAGTTCGTCGCCCAGGCCCGCTTCATTGCCGGTGGAGACGCCTGAGCTGCCGCTGGAGCTGGCCACTGAGACACCGCTGGTTTGGTAAAGACCTGATTCTGCATACCAAGAGCTAACACCTCCATGGCCACTGGGCGTGGGTGTGATCGGTTCATCGCCCCTCGGACACGTAGGCGAGTTAGTGGTCTGCTTGAAGACGCCACATTCGGCATACCAGGAGGTGGCTCGGCCAGAATCTTGCTCGCGATCCGGATCCGTGGGCGTTTTATTGCCGTTTATTGGAGGTGGAGGGGGAGGAGGTTCATGGGGTCGCAGTCCGATAGTGGTGCGACGCCTGCCAGCCTTCGCTTCTTTCTTGGCTTTGCGAGCTACAGTGGAGAACTTTTGGGACTCCGCCGTGGGTGTGCAGTTCTTCTCGGAGAACCCCGAGTCTAGTTCCCCGGAACCGTGGATCTCTAGCTCTAATGGCAAGGCGGGCAGTGAGCCCTCAGGGTCCTCCACGTAGAAGGTACTACGTGTGGCCGACAGCGAGGAGAGTTGCTTGGTATCGAAGCTGGAGCCGACCAAGCTCTTACGAAGCCGGGAGCGTAGGCTTTTACCGTTCTTCTGTTTGGCCCTCAGTACCGGAGCTTGCTCCTGGTGACTTTTGGAGGAAGGATTCCGTTCCGCTCCGTAATCGGTGTTTTCGTACACCTCCTCCGTCCGTTTTCCGCCTTCCACATAAAACTGAGTGGCCGCCGGTGTATTCTCGTACAACTTCTGCTGGCTGCCTTTGGGAGATTTCTTGCTGGAGATGAAGTCCTTAAACTTGCGCACGAACTCGTACACCTGGTTTTGGGGAGGAGGTGGCTTAGGCAGGCGATGGTTGCGCATATCCACGCCGCTGTCGTTTTGCTGGAATTACAAATTCGTTGGGTTAACTTGGGTGAATCTATAGGATCTATATGTGTGATCCACTTACGTTTCTTAGCCGCTGGTCGGGCTCACCATCGCCGTGATCGTCGCTATCCGTCTCGAAGGAGTCATAGTCATCCGAGATCACTACGTGCTCGCCCAGCGCGTGGGCGGATGCCGAATGACTCTTGCTTCGGCGGTGCGAGGAGCGCACTCCACTGCTCCGACCTGCTTCCTGGCTATGGCGCACCAGCTGGGTCGAATGGCGTTTGTTTCCGAGTGGCGACAGGGTCTCGTAGTAGTGGTCTGAGTCATCTGTGCGGGGGCAGAACAATAACGGTTTAGTTTTCATTTCTGGTTTTGATTTACTAAATATATCAGATTTCAATTATATATATATATATATGCTTTAGGTAAAGTTTTTAAATATAAGTTTTTATACGTTTTTCAATTTTGTCGTTTCTTACAAAGATCTGGTAGGCTACTAATAAAATGACAATTCATTTCGGAATAAGGTAAGATAATAATATACAAGAAACAATTTATAGTTTTGTAAAATTTTAAAAGATAAATATAAACTTAATAATTATAAAAACTATTTTAATAAAAAACCGCAACATAATTTTTAAAGTTCTTGAATAATAAAATAGTTTTTAAACATAGAATTCTTGTCAGGTTAGCCTTTTGATTTATGTTTAATCATATAAAATAATATAAATACGTAATCTTTAAACCAGGACGAACCTACGAAAGTGCTAACTGTCACGGTGACCTTTGCGGAATTTTCACCCCCTTCTCCGTGGGTCACCCGCATGGAGGTCAGTAGCTGGGCACGCTGATGGACGTGACTGCAACGCTGGCTAATGGCCGCTGCTTCGTTTTGGTAAATAGGTTCCGGAGCCGGTCGCACGGGTTCGACGGGCATGGGACCGTTGAGATAGACACTGCTGGAGTTCCCATGACCACCACCGGTTACCGCTACCTCGCCACGAGCTCGAGGTCGCCGCTTCCGGGGCAAGGTTACCGGATCGGCGGGATGACCGCTGCTGCTCAGACTGCCAGTGCAGCTGAGGCGTTGGTCGTTGGTACGATTCAACGTTGACATCTTGTCACATCTTTGGGGTCAGAAAGCCTGTCAAGGATTGAATGATTCATTCAATTGGACTTACTCCTGGACTGAACAGCTTTTGAAAACTGCCTCTAAGAGAAAATAATTTTTAGCTAATAGAGGCAATCTTCCAAATAATTTTAAAAAGTTAAATTCTGCTGCTCTAAGTTCGAAAAAAACTACACTGATATTTAGGTTTTTGATAGATAAACTTGTGTGTGCGTTAAGTGTTTAACTTAATTGTGATTTATTTAAACTTAAAACTTTTAATTTAATGTTTATTAAGTCTTCTTTTTCTGAGTGTGGAGCTTGAGCGGTGGTATTCTGAACTCTGTTCTTAGGAAACTGCACTCAATTGAAAGCAATTAAAAGCTGCTGCAGCAGCAATTGTCTGCCCTTTTTGATTGACCAATTCAGCCCACTGTCCGATATGCTAATTAAGCCGACTTTTCAAGTGTCACAACAATAAGCCTGCAGCTGCTGGCCATATAAAGCGAATGGCATGCAAACCCGTATGTGGCGAGGGCTAAGCTAAACTAAACTAAAGCAAACTAAAACTAAAAAAGCAAACACCCAAAGCTGGGGCATGCAAAATAGCGCAAATTATAATGGAATCATGGTTGAATGCAGACAGTCGCTTTGGCCATACAATGTCGAGTGATTAACAGACATGGTTGGAAAATCAAACTCCATGATGTGGCAGGTGCCGTACATCCAACAACAACCACTCTAAAAACTAACGTATTTAGGCATTTTAAAACAAAAATTTAAGCACTTTTTCATTGGGCCAGAGAACGACTTTGCAGCCAAGCCATGTGTGAATTTAGAAAATTCTATCCGGATTCGAGCACAAAGTGCTTAATGCTAGATACTATCTGTTCGCATATTACGTATACGTAATACGTAGATGTAGAAGAGCCAGGCAAGCGCAGCGATTGCCAACCGGTTCGAGAGCGCCAATAAAACGAGGCAGCCAGCTCTGTGTAGCTCTGCAAGCTGAACATGAATATGAGTTTCTAAAGATATGCGACTTGCGAGCATGAATGTACCTACAATTGAGGTCAAGATAATAGCAGCGACTTGGCATAACAGAAAAATAAACATAAAGTTATTGAAAGATGAAATCTGAACCAAAAGTAAAATTTTTATCTGTAAATATGTTGATGACTTCAGCCTTTGAAATATAAGTATTTTCAATTGAAATATTTATAGTACGTAATGATATTTTAGACCAATGTAATTACTGCAGTTTTAAACCTATTCATTTAACCACAACTGTATATATAACGATGTACATATTTTTGAACGAAACGAGATACTTTTCGACGGCGACACTTGTTGCGCGTGGGCTGTTTGGAAATATTGGAGTTCTGGCCCAAAAACAAGGAGCTGCCAAGATTCTGGCCGGTTCGAGAGCCAGAGCCAGTGCCATGATACCAAAAAGTTACCGGTTTCAGGTTATTGCTTACGGCATCGAGTGTGTATTCTCTGGTGAAATTCTGCGAATTTAGGCCTTTGTTGATGGTGCTGGTGCGTGTAAAGTGAATGTTCATATCGTACCGCAACGATTGGCAATACGGAAATGTTTTATTTCATTAGCCGTCCGTCGCCTCATCGCCTTAGCGTGAGACTTGAACAAAGAAAACCGAAGGAAAAATGGTCTAGCAATGCGATACATTCGTAAGCAAGCTAATGTGCAGACTTTGGTACATATGTAACAGATATATGTATATGATTTCTTATACATATGTATACATATGAAGATGATCTTTTGTTGATTGGAATGCAGCAAGTGCAAGGCCAGCAGTCCGACGATCTCTTGATGTTGCTGCCTGCTGTTTCCATCCGCGCTCTTCACGCATAAACAATTAACAATTAACACTGCAATGCAGCTGGGAAAAATCCAGTTGATCAACGGATCGAACGGTTGATTGATCGCCTGACGCATTAAGGTTAAGATTGTTAAGTGCCAAACGATGTCATTGTCTTCCAATCGGCTCTTGGTCACGTTGGAAACGGATAATAGCTGATAGGAACCACGGTTGGAGTAGGAAAATTAGTTTTACTGATATGTTTTGATTGCTTCATAATTTAAATGACTTCTTTTCGGTTTGTTATTTTTTTTTTGACTTCGTTTTAAATATGTTTTTAAAGGCATTTTGTTTATGTTTTTGGGTAATTATTCTTGCACATGCCATATTAAAGTCTCAAAGGGGAATAATTTATAGCCATTTTTATATTTCTAGAAATATTTTTGGTATACTTTTTTATTATTTGTGTCTGTGGAACTTTTAAGTACACAAATTACTAAATATTTTGAATACATATGTAATTTTGTAATTCCACCTTGTCAATAAACAAGAAGGAATATTATTTTTCAGTTCTAGTGTTTGTAATTGGTATGAATATTTCCCAAAAATACGCTTTGTCACGACAATTTAAGTCAAATTTTAGCTTCTATTGGAGCTCTGTAACAACGCAAGTCATCTAATTGGCAATGGTAACTCATTTCGAAGATTAAGTTATAACTTAGGAAAGTAGACAAGTGCTAAGTTGTTAAATTATTACGCAATTTACTAGAAAGTATGTTCTTGAAATAGAGAGAGCCCTGTCAGCAACTCATCTAATTGGAAATCGAGCGAAATTATCAATAACATGAACTGAAAATAAAGATAATTTTCCATTTTAAGTACACTTAGAGTGTTACATTTCATTTATTGAGAGAGCCCTGTACCTCAGTTAGTCATCTAATTGAAAAAATGCATTTAAGCCAGAGATCCACAATTGAGTGCGATCTTCCTGCATGCGACAAGCTCATAAATTTTCATAGCTCCAAACGACTGTGACTTTGGGTCGGAATTTCCACGACACTTTCGCCGCGGGCGTTGCGTGTTGGCGTAACGAGCCAAAGTTGAACGTGCCCCGGGTAAAAGTTAAAAGTTAAGCTGAGAATTTCCATTTAGCTGACTTTGGCTTGGGCCTAAGCATTACCCGGTTTGCGGGCTTCGGTTTCACCCATCAAAAACATGAAACAATTACAAGATATTTTACAATTGCCAAGTGAAGTGGCGTTCGCTGAACCCCTTTTCTTTGTGGGGAGAGAGGGAAAAGCTTAAAGAGATTATTGCGATTTTTATGCAAAGCCTTTTTTGTAGGATTTCGCACAGCACTGTGCGAAATTTTTGAGTATTTTAATACAACGATTGAAATTTATTTGAATAAAACTATCTTTAAAGATAGCTAATAGCTTTAAAGTGTAAGTGAACAGGGTATTTAGGCAAGAAAACTATAAATACCGCAGGAAAGAATCATTGCAATTTTAAAAGATTTTAGAACTCTTTTAAAATCAATCAATTTTAAAATTCAGAAAAAATATAATTAAATATAAAAAATATAATATAATTCGATTTCTAGTTCGCATTGCACATTGCACACACCGACTTTTTGCAATCATTGCTCATTATGACATGTATTTTAATGCAAAAGTCATCGCCGAATTGCGATTCCTTTGGCCAAAATAGTTTGATCGTCTTTCGGCTATCTCTCTCTGCTGTGTTTTTTCCCTTGTTTCGCTTTGTGTTTCTTTAAGACTTCTTCAAGGTTGCCTGGGCTGAGTTAAGCTTAAGTTTTATGTTTCTAGACTGGTTTTCGTTTTCGCTAAACAATTTCGTCATCGGCAGGTAAGCCAACAACAAATAATGGCAAGAAAAAAACAAACAAAATGAAGGTGGATGGTCACGGAAGGGGGTGGTGTGGGGGTAAAAGCAACAATAAGTCGTCGGCGACTCGGTTTCAATTCGTGACGTCTCCAAAAGCAGCAACAAAAACAAAGACACACACAAATCATACAACAAAAACTTGTAATGCAAAAATGCAATAAGCTCTCTCGCTCTCTTTTTCTCATAGTCCCTTTGTCTCTGAGAGTTTTTCTAAATTTAATATGGAATTCACGTTTTTATTTGATCTATTGGATTTCTCTCAGTTTGAAATTAGAGCAACATCATTAATTATCCACTGATATTCACATTTATCACTTGAATTCTTTCGCGTTTCTAGACCCGTTCGGAGACCCGTTTTATTCACCGGACCGTCGGAGTTGAGCGCGTTGGAACGAATGAGAGGCACAGATGCCAGTGGAGAGTAGCAATGCTATTGCTACCCCAACATCAGGCAAGCAGCAGGCAAACTACACTGCACACACTGCGTCCACTTTATGGGCATTGCACACTGCGCGAAAAGAACTAGTGAATATCAAGATCTAAATAATAATAATTTTGCTATGAAAACTTTTTCGGAGACTTAATAGTTTTAAATATACTCTTTTTCTTCTACAACGCTATAAAATCCATTTGATGGTGGCCACTCTTTTTATTTCCTTAAATAAATTACTCTTCTTAAATGTTTTTATTTAGCCTTATTGCTTATATTAACAGGATATAAAAGATTTTATGTTTTCTTAAACTTACTAAAGTTAATCTGCTCCCAAATTTCAAGTTATTGATTTTCAAATCCTTCTCACTAAAGAATTCCAAATTTCTTGCAGTGTGGCTATTTTTTGTGTGGAACCTGTCGGCCAGTTTACTCTCCCTTCTGAGTTTTTCCTCACTCTCACTCTCATTTGTAAAGAAAAGGTGGCTTAATTATCCGCTCTGTTAGCTGCTCGCCTTGTTAATATTTCGGGTTCCGCTTCACATTTGGCATTTGCTTTCGAGGAACTCAGGCGCCGCTAGGGGCAAAGTTTTGACTGGAGCACAGCCACTTATGCATATTCATTAAAGGCAAAATGATTAAGTGGCCTCAACTTGTGGCAATTAAACAGTTGATAATTATTGGTTTTGAATGGCCAGAGTGTGGATGGCAAGTGTGGATGGTGAAGCTTAGTGCGGACACGAACCACAGAGATCAAAGCTCACGCACATATATCGATAGCGAAGGCTTTCCTTTGATGAAAAGCTCGATTGCAGGGGAATACCCTCATTGACTGCGTATTAATTAAAAATGTTAAATTTAAAAAATCAATATTTTATATACATTTAAATTTTTTTAAATTATGTTTTTACTTTTTACGGAGTTCTTATCTTTGAAAATCTGTCAAAAAATGTGAATGAATATTAGATTATTTTTAATAAAAAAAACTTATTGGGTTAAATTTCTTAGAAATGCAAAGGTTTAGCACAACGGTACTTCCCAGAACTGAAACCACCCAAGTTGTAGGGTTGTCAAGTAAAAGATAAGGCGCGATAACAAGTTGCCACCCTACAGTTAGCACTTTCTTTGGTTCTTTAACTTAAAGGTTAACCTAAAGCCTTACAGTATCTAATTAACTTTCTCACTCACCCTCTATGCAGCTTATGGCCTTCTTTTGTTGCAGTCTTTTGTCTCTGATGCGTTTCGACCAATCCGGACTTCTAGTGCGATGCGGCTTAAACCTTTCCCGAACACTGAAAAAGATAAGGGTTAACAGAATTAACAACAAAAATAAAAAAAACATTAATTTAATTGATTTAAAATAGTCTTAATAAGTACTTCATAATTCCAGCCACAACCGATCGATCAAACTAATTTATAACAACTGATCTCCCCTAGGGAGCTCCAGCCATTGATTGGTTTTGGAGTCTCAGCATTTCTAGAGTTCCTCAAGAGGCCCGGCAATCTTATCAATTGATAACAGAAGAAATTGTAGGTCAGCGATCTAATTATTGGAGGCAAGTCAAGAGGGGGCGGAGTGCTTTCAATCAGCCGCAAGTGTTGCAACTTCAAAAATAGCTTCGGGAAAATGGAACATGATGCATGACATTGTTCTAATTAAGTGCCAAAGAAACTTGTAGGGGTGACAATTATCTGTGTCTCTTAAAAACTATTTAATGATCGTTAAGTGTCTGTTGTAGCACTCAATTGTGTTAAATTATCTCATTGCTTGTCGTATTCTTAAACAATTTAGATAAACCAAGTTGACTTTATTACAAATTAGAACTTATACTTATTATATTTTTAAAATGTACTTGGTTTGTTGTGAAAACCTGCCTGCTTTGTTTATTTTTAAATAAGATTAAGCATATAAAAGTACAAAAATAACACCCCATGACTAAATATTAACTTTCAGATTGATAAGAAATGAATTTTTTTACGAATAAATATATATAATAATACGACTCCTACACACCCTTTCAAACATAAACCTTTTAGATTATAGAAATTATAGATAAAGATCTAAACTCTGACCACCTTGACCTGCATTTCGTTCTAGTTTTTGGTCAATCTATAGCTGGAAATAAATAATTATTTTTATATGAGTATAACCATGTTGCAACCCAGCGCCATGCACCATTTATTGGCGGCAAACACAGTTTTAGACGTTCGAAACCCCAGCAACTGCCTGTCTTTTTTACCAAATAGATTAGATAACACCAAGCCAAACAAACTGATAAGCAATCTACGCAGAATTTATACGGCCCAGCTGTTGGATGATTGCAATTCCAATCGTTTTCCGCTCCCAATCGTTTTTCCTTAACGGGGCAAGGTATTAATAAATATAGCATTGCGATATTTTGTTTTCTGAATTGCACAAAACATATTTCCAGCATTATTTATATGATTATTTCTGGACTGAATTTCATTATTGTTTATTGTCTAATTAAACTACACTTTGTTTCTAGGATTTGATCTTTATCTTGTACTAAAATAGAAATATTTAAACTTCCTTTTCAATTATTCACTTGCAAAACTTATTAGTAAACAAAAAATATATGAAAATCCCTAAGCTATGAATCATCTTAAAAAGATATAAATAAAAATTCCATTTACATTTCAAATTTTTAACTTTTGTAGAGTTCTAAAACTTAGCCTTTCCCCTTCTTAGATATCAAATACTCACACAATGAACTGAGCCTCATTCGGCGTCGCCTCCATTGCCGCCTGGCCAATCTCGCCATCCGAAATGTCCACCCAGGCATCGCTGTTGTCACTGGAACCCGCTATTGAGGATCTCTTATCTCCAGGCTTTCCGCTGTCCCGGCTACCAGCACTGCTGCCCAAGGAGGATCGGCATCCCACACTGGCACTTCCATAGACCACACATCCGTTGGCAGCCAGAGAAGATTCATAGAGACTGTTGGTCTTGTGATCTGAGGAGATGGTTAACGTAGAGCCACTGCTGGATAGTTGGATGCAATTGCCCGCAGTTCCCTGATGCTGACCCGTCACTGCTCTAGTTTTCCGGAAGTGGGTGATACTCTCATAGCAGTTGGAAGTCAGGGAAATGGCATCTGTGGTGAGAGTAGCTTCACCGCTGGAGGAGGAAGATGTGACCTTGCAGTGCATGGACTCGTAACAACCCTTGATGGTATCGTATATATTCTCATCCTCCTCGGACTCTTTGGTTTCTGGTTTGGGAGGAGCTGGACGCAAAGGTATTGGGGATTTGTTAAGTACTCTCTTGGGCTTTGGCAGTTCCGGCAGCTCATCGCGGGTATTCCGACCCAAAGTGCCAGTGCCTGTGGGAGTGGTGGCTGTAACAATCACTTCCTCTTGGGCAAAGGACTCGTAGCCATCGTAGCCCGATGTACACGCCTCCTTGGATCCAGCAATGGATTCATAGCCCTCCAGCCAGATATTCGGCTTGACCTTGGGAGTGGCTGCCTCCTCCACCGTTTGGTATATATCCTCCACAATCTCCGACTTCTTGGTGGATATCTTGAACAGGCTGGAAGTCTGGGTTTCAGTCTTGGTTTCATTAATGACAGGTGTGATGGGTTCGTATATGGATTCGGGGTCTAAACTCTCTTCCATCTTTTTCGCCCCCTCCTTGAGTTCCAGCTCCTTGACCTTCATCAGTTGCTTCTGCTCCATGATCATCTGCTCGCCCTCGATGGCATTAACTAGGGTAACATTTACCGCCTGGTTGAGCAGGATTTGATTGTTGGAGATCTGCTTGTTGGCTGCCTGGTAGACGAAGGAGTTGTTGGGCAGGATGCGCTGCTCGAAGTCATCGTTAGCAGCCAGAAGGAGTTCACGTTCCCCGTCTTCGTTTGGGGGGTTGAGAACCTTGAGCTTTTGGTCTAGTGCCTCAAGGGCATCTAGAATCTTGGCATCGGCCTCAATGCAGGGCGAGATAAGCAGGGCAGGTGAGGGATCTTCCAAATCATCTGCTCCGGGGGTTACCTCTTTGGGAATGTCCAATGTTAGCACTTCCGTTCTGGTAACCTCTTCTTTGGTAGCCTGTTCCTTTGTAGCAATATCCTGGGCTGCGATCTCTGTGAGAACTTCCTCCTGTATGGTGATTTCTTCCCGGGATCTGCCCTTCGTGGGTGACGGACTCGCTGATTTCCTCCCTTTCGCGAAAGTAAATCGGAGTTTCTCATATATCGAGGCATACTTGTGCTTCCGCTGCTTCTGACGTAGATCCTCCTCCGTTTCCTCCTCCCCCAAAATGGAATCCAGCTCATCACTGGGTCTGACATCCGTCTGATTCAGTTCTTGGTGATTGCTATTGGGCAGTGATTCACTCTTGGCTGATTTTGGTTGCTTAGCTGGCTCTTCAGGTGCAGTTGGCTTCAGTTCCTCCCTGACCATTGCCAGTTCTGGTGCGACCACACTGCCTGGTGGTAGCTTGAGATTTCGTTTGGTTCGCGGACCCCGCGGAAGATTGCTGGTCCTCATCAGTTCGATATGCTTCCGCATCAGCTGTTCACTCTTCAGCGGTACACTGGGTTTCTCCAGCCTCTCGAACTTCTTGATATTGCGCTGAACATTCGAGATGAGACTTTCCTCGGCATTCGGCATGACTTTTCCCTCTGAACTGGGTTTCTCCACGATCTTGTAGACATGGGTTCCGCGTGATAGCCAAACCCCATTATTCCGCTTGACCTGCTGCAGGACTCGAGCGTCCTTCTGGATAATCTCGTTGAATTGGTGGGTGAGCTTGGCCACCAGACTGATGCCACCACTGGATGAGTCATGCGCATCCATATTGCTTATCCTGCGCATCGAGTGATGATGCTGATGATATGACTTCCCAGCATGCGTTTTAAAGCTATATTTGCGACGTCCGCCTGACCGACTTGTCGTTGACGTCACCGGGCTGTGGGTGGTGGTCGCGGAGGAGGTGGTGGTTGTGGTTTGAAGTGATTCGCTGCTGCCGCCACTTTGGGCGCTCGCCGCGCTGAGACTGAAACCTTCAAGGCGATTACGCTCCCGTTTGGCTCGCAGTTCCACCTTTTCCTCCTCATCGTTGCTTTCCCCCCTTTCCACTTTTCCAACCTTATCTTCGGCTGATAAGGTTTCCGTGGTATACGTTTTGACTGCAGCCAAACCGCTGTCGTCACGTTTCGCCCGCCTTTCGCTGGCGTTTGTAATCGCCTCATCGGCGTTGTTCCTCAACTTGGCCTGCATTCTGGCCTGTTCGGCGTTTTTGTACTTGTAGAAGTTGTCCTTGTCCCGCTGCAAGTGCTGGTGCTTCGTCTGCGAGTCCTGCAAATTGTGCAAGCTGGCCGCGCGTTTTGCTAGCGACTTTTCCGGCGTCGAGCACTCGCGTGAGTTATTAAACGCGTTGACCAGGCAACTAACACTCTTATTTAACTTCTTCAAAGTGCCCAGCGAGGTGGAGGATGGGTTGGTGCTGGAATGGCAGTGACTGTGATCCTCGCTGGCACTTTTGATGCGCTTGCTCCACAGCAATCGCAAGGTTTGCACACCCCGGAAGTCTCGAAATGCTCGCGTTTCACAGGTGCAATTTGCTTCGCTATTCGGATTTTGATTCGGATTTGGATTATCTCTGCTGGCCTTATCGCACGTCACCCGATTGTTGTTCTCACTGTCACTATTCACCAGCCAATTGATAATTGTCTTTTTCGTTTTTCGCGGTGTTGTTGCTGTTCGTGTTGCTGTTGCTGTTGGTGCTGTTGCTGCTGCTGCATTGCCGTTGAGATCACGGCCAGTGGCTTTGGCAGCCGCATCCAAGACAGGTGACATCGCCATGGCGTTGACTTGCTCTGATCTTGGCCAGAAAGTGATCACGTTCTTGGCTATTCAAGTAGCAGCCGGCCAAGATGTTGCTGCTGCAGATGCTGGTGATGATGATGTTGCTGTTGCCCCCGGGCCTGGAACGACAAAAACAGAGAGTGGAAGAGAAAGCTCGTGAAAATCTTGTTCAGGCAAATGCAAATTGGGTGCCAGCCATTATATTTACAGGCGTGCCTCATCACAGCAATTATGCGTGATAAGCTGCTTCATGGCTGGCGAATGGAATCCAAGGAGTTTCTGATATTGAACATGGTTTTTGGTGTAAGAAAAATGTAGAAAATATGCTAGACAATCTATATGGAAATAGATGTACTGCTGTAAGAGCTAAATATAATCATAACTGGTTTAAAAGTAGATCTGCCTTTGAGTTTCTTAGGAGATTTTTAAACAAAGTTTTAGTGAAAGATAACATGATCTTTTTCACTCATTCCTTCAACAGTTTATCAGTTTTTGTTGAATTCAATAATTTGTATTGAAGCTAAAATTTTAATGGCAAAATACGGACTGTAAATGAAAGTTAGTCGTGCAATAAGTCAACAATTTTAGTATTTGCTGTTAAAATTGTATTAATTTTAAATATTTTACCCATAGTACAAAGCATTTGATTTTGGTTAAAGATCAATATCTCTTATATATAACATAACTATAGATATAGACTATAGTTAAAGAACATACTTCAATTTTGGTTTCGAGTGAAAAGAGAAAAAAGGGAAAAGTGTAAGAAAAAAATAAACTAATGCTCCTACAACTCCTACAACCTCCTTGATAATCATGGTTTGTAAGTTTAAACAGAATAGAAGTTATTTTAAAGGAATTAAGAAAGTAAAAGGTAATACCAAATTCTTTAATAAAATCCAAAACAAATTTAATTAAAGTCACCATAAGCCTTGTTTGAGAATCCCCAATTTAACTTAAAAAAACCTTTTAAAGGCCATTTTACATAATCAAGACAATAGTTCTTCAATTAAAAAACTCCCAATAGCATTGCCACCTCAAACCCCAGAAAACGTTGACAAATTCGTGTAATCTGCCAAAGTATTTTAAGCCTCTTTTCGAATTTTGACTCACATTGCCCAAATTGAGTTGGCCAAATGATGAATAGGCATTATTATTGCCTTACAAATTTCAAGGAAGCCGAAAGACTCAAAACTTGAGCAAGCGAGAAATGAGTGCGGTGAGCGGGTACAACATTGCGTATGCTTGATACGTTATGAATGCGCTAGCTTATCGCCATGCGATCGATGTTGGCTGACTATAAGGTATATATGGTCTATATGGCATTGCACAAACCCAGTCCGCAAGACCGTCCCACCGTCTCTTCGCACCTGACAATTGTTTACCGCCCAACGACGCTCCTCCGCCCACTGCCGTCCCCCTCTGCTCTCACGTGTCTTGTTTTTTTTTTTGTCACACACAAATGCCAATTATAATGAGCGATTACATAAAGTCGAAACAATTTCTTCTGCCCGACACAGGCGGTAAGAAATCGTAAAATGGCTTTTAAGCTGCTTTTCGGTACGTTCGTTAGACGTTTTCATCTGCGGTCTTCTGCTGCTTCTTTTCTTTTCGCACTTTATGCTTGTCTGTTTTTTTGCTATTATATATATCTATATCTTTATATATTTATTTATATATAAGCGGTATACCCATGTGTTTTTTTTAGATGTCACATTTGCCTCGCACGCGGCAAGAATAACAAAACTAATTTTTATTTGGCAGTGCAAAAAGGTTTTTAAACAAAATATTAACTACACACGCACGACCAATGTAAATAAAAGAGGGGAAAAAAGACTGAAGACGACTGACGATTACGCAAACGCCTTTGGGTTTTCGTATTACTCGCGTCTAAAAGGAAACTGCTGGCCAAAACTGTGTTTACACAAAATGTCTTGTTTATTCGGAATGGTATTTTATTGGCGATTATTTGTCAATTGCAAGGCGGAAAGCAAACCGGCCCCCAAAACGGGGAATTCCAAACTGATCAATGCCAGCCTGCTGCCCAGGGTAACGCGGCATATTGGCGGGCATTTAAATTATTAAATTATAACCACAACTATTGAATACAAGAAACGGGTTAAAACTCTTTTATACTTTTATTACCAGGATATTACCAAGTTTCATGTTAATTTATCATGAATTTGTACAGTAATTAGCCCTAAATCTCTAGGAATGCGGGGAAATACCCTAAAACTAAACTTCCCCCAATTTGAAGATCTTAAAAAATGTAAAATTTAGCAAAAACTATCATTTCCCCTTAATCAATTAGCTAAGAATCTGTTGAAAAACACTTCGTATTAGCCATAAATCATTTGGCTTTCGGTGTTAGCCGCCACAGAATGATAATTTCAATGCCTTTTATATAGAGTGGACTCTAAGGCCATTCAAGCTGCGAGACGGTCGGCGGTCAACAGCTTTTTGGCCTGGTCAATAAAAATGTTTTGCATATTAAGCAGCCCAAACCCGAAAAGGAAAATGTAAACAATTGACAGCCAGACACTTGGAACAATACAGAAAAAATCAAGCTCATCTCGGGGCGAAGAAAAGGCGGAATCATAAAAAAGAAACTTGATGAGCTGCAGTTTTTTAGGCTAAGCTGCAGCTGCACCTGCCACACATTTATTATAAAGATATATATTGTGGTTATATCTATAGGTATGCAAATGGCTTTCAACGGATGCAGCGTTTTGTTTGATTTCTTTTTGTTTTCCTCTTCTGTTTGCTTTATCACAACGGGTCATAATTCCCAAGGGCGGGAGAAAGATTTTCCCGATGGGAAATCAAAGGTATTGACAGCTGAAGTGAAAGTGATAATGTCAAAGAGCTGACTTGGAGCCGAGAATCCGGTGATTAGACACGCCAGATAGCCAACTAATCGTGGCTTTTACAAACGAATGCGGAAGAAGGAGATAACAAATGAAATGAGATAGAAATATTTTAATTTCGAGAAATTAAATCAAATTAAATTTATTGCCATTTTGCATAGAAGAAAAAAAAAAGAAGAAACACAGCCAGCCGCCATTAGAAATGTGAAAGTTTACTTTTCCTTTTTGCTTCTCTTTCAAGTTATTTTTTGTTTTTGTCTCAAAGTTAATGAACTGTCTTGGCAATGATTTAGAGATGCTGTTGACGGCTGATGAGGTGATGGTAAAAATATGTGGGATAATTCTGGGCTTACTGCTCGGTTGCACAATCGTGTTTCCTTTATAGTTGACCACTTTTCAATGTCGTCCTTTAGAAACAAGGACCTTAGACTGTCTGAATTTTGTTGACTGGTTACGTTACCACCTTTGTTTTTGTTTTGGCCGCGTTGCCGTGGTGAACCTCAACAACCACCAAACAGCCTTTGCAGCCCTTAGCCAACTGAATGTTCTGGCTAGCAGCAGGCTAGCTGGCTAGCTGCGAGCAACCCCTAAACGTTAATACAACACTGCGTATGCTTTATATGGTAAACAAAGCTGATGGGTCGATAGTTCGCTTCATTCTCGAAGGGTAGTTCCTATTTACCACTTATGCTCGCACCCTCTCGAGTGGCTGCATTATTCAAGCTTTGTTGCCTCTCAGCCTGAGTTTAAGTTAAGTTTAATTTGCTAAATTGATGCGCACAAGTGACACAGTTTAAATAATAGATATACACCCCGCTTATCTGGCCACTGATTACAGTCTGAGTCATTGGTGTAAGCTTATCGAATGGCAAATTGAGGGAAATTTTAATGACCAAATTTGTTAGCTTTAAAGAGAAACATATATATAGATACAGATATATAGAGAGAATGAAAAACCCGCATGCAAACGAGCATTAACTGCATTCCAAGCTTGGTTGCCTCAGCGCCAAAGAACCGCAAACTGAGTCTGCGTTTTGGCTGGGGTCTAAGTCTTGGACTAGGTCTGGCTATAACCGCGTAAGGCACAGAGGCGTATAATTAGCGTGCAGCATTGGCAAAGTGAAGCTAATGGAACCAAACAACACAGAAACATGGCCACGGAACATGGCTAACCGTAATTCTGAAACCGTAAGCGGAGAATCCGAAATGACATGGAAGAAGAGGTCAGTTCGGAGGCCAATTCAGCAGTGTGTGCGTGTGCTGAGGCTGAATATGTGTTGAAAACTCAAGCTTTTTGGCTTGTCACTAGTCAATGGAGTTAACAGTTAAGTCATGGCAGAGACTGGCCAAAAAGATTGCGTTAATATATAATTTCATTTAATAACCAGTTGACAAATTAAATGCCTGCTGTTGCTGCTGCAGCTGAAGAAATGTCGATAGAAAGCTAAAAAAAACTATTTTTATTCCTGTTTGTTATTAATACTTTTTGAAAGGTAATCAACACTCTCTATTTTGTGAATGATGGCTTTATCGCTTATAATAATGTTAGTAGTTTGTCTAATAATCATTAAAAAAGAGAATAAACATTATAAACTATAAATCAATTTGAAATTTATGGGAAAATAAAAAACAAACATTTCATTCTTGATAAATTAATCACAACTTCTAATTTCTTTAGATCTACGTCAGGACCCATGTTTAGAATAGAGATCTTAAGACTAAGAGCTCCAAGACAAAGAAGCTTAAACACTTAACCAAGTTTAATTACCATCAAATGTCGGGTTAACTCGATCTAATCCCAACGGAAATCGAAGTTTTAGCCAGGCGATCGAAGATATTTGGAGCCTGTTCTTGGTGAAATTTCGCTTCTACCGATTTGGTATGTATGTATGCGGAATTCGCCAAGTGGTTTGGCTAGATTCTTTCAAGAGCACACTAGGCACCACGCAGATTTTCTTGTGGGCGTTTCACTTCTGCCAGCTTTCATTTCACTCTGGCCTCAAAAAACCTGGCCAATTTGTAGCACTCGCTTTAAGCTATTGCACTGCCAACGATTTAGCATATGCCATATTGCACATTATCTAAAATATTTATATGACCGAAAACACAGTCAAACACAATCAAACACACAAAACACGCGCCGAGGAGTGCCGTGAAAATAAAGGTAAGACACCGCAGCAACTCCAAACGTCTCCAACGACCGACGACCGCAAAGCAACTGACGAGTGTTGCTGCTGTCGTCAACGTTGCTGCTG